AGCCATTAATACCAGAGTTTTACAAAACATGGTGATTGCTTTCCTGGACCCAGTAATGATCGTGAAGTAAAACAGGTGCCCAGTCATTACACTTCCTCATTCTCCATTGTTTTCTAGTTAAAGGTAATCAATTTTCTTATGAGCATGAATCCCTTAAGCCTCTGCTGAGTGCTTTCATTAATCAAGCAGACAAACCATACCTTGGAGGGATGCTCGGTCCTGTGCTGTAAATCCTGGAAATGGCAGTAAGACAACAAAAACTTTATAATGTGTAAAAATGAAAGATGTTACAGCACCGGAAGAGGCAATAATGGGAGGAACTCCCTCTGCCTTGATTTGTCTCACGCCTGTATCCATCTCCACCGTCGCCTCTCCTCCATGTGTCGACTTCTTTCTTTCTCTCTCACATCTCCTCCCGTCCTGTGACTCATGAGGGGCTTCATTTGTCATCCAGCAGGTGATGAGTGCAGTGTTTTTCAGCCTGACCTCTACTCTGTCTCTAATCAGCTATGCTGCTTCATGCTCCCACAACCAAGACTGAGACCTGGGTCACAATAATATATGAAAACACTCTTTCAGTTTGTTGAAGCCCACTACCTGTGCTTTATTTTCCACATTTCGGCCTGTAATAAACGGTAAACATTTAAAGCTGTCACACAGACAATACAGCATGTAAAAGAAAAATAGTTTGCACGTGTGTAATTGACAACTTACCTGTCACAATATAAATGATCTTAATGCAATAGACTTCATCCATGTGGTGAGTCAAACAGGTAAAAACAAACACACTTGGAGATAATTATGCAAATGCTAATTTATTCCATTTATTCCAGTTTGATACAGTCACACCAACAGTATTACACACATACATGAGTTATTAAATAGCAGCTACATTAGTCCCAGAACATGCATATTCACCACCTACTCTTCACACACATTACATCTCCTTGGCCCTGACAGCGTGTCTGTAAATTAGTGTCTGTCGGTCAAAAAACTTTCATATCACACCTGAAGCCTTCACAGTCAGACACCACTGCCTATCATCCTGACGCAAGTCATGTCTTTTGTTAAAAGTCTAAGCTAACCCGTCGCTGTCAGGCGGCATGGTTTTAGTCATTCAGTCTCTTTGCTTGACCGGTCACAGCAAAAAGCAAAGCAGCAGGACAGCAGATGAGGTAATGGAATAAAAGATGAATAGCAGCCCTTTGGAGAAATTAAAAAGTACATATATATATATATATATATATTGTAGAATTATGACATCAGTGTCAATGGATATTTAACTTTCAAACATTCAAAGTCTTTCTAAAAAGGCAGGTGTACACATTCATACCAACAAGGCCATCTGTGTCCTTTCAGAACGTGTGAAAAGGTTTTTTTTTCCTTTTTTTAAAAACCTGTGCAAATAAACTCTAATGGAAAAAGCCTTATCTTGAAAATAATGTAGGTCTGTGACAGGGGATTATGGGAAAATGTCAGATGAAATCCAACCTCCAAAGAGGCCTGAACAAAGATCACGTGTACAGCATGGAGCGTATTACTTACAAAAGTAATAATTTATCCCTTTAGGGTTGAAATCAAGTCTCCCCTGAAACAGGAAAGATGTGTTTGTGCAAGGAATGATGTCATGAAAACATATCCATGTCATTATCTCACATTGCTCCGGTGGTGGAAAATAACACATTTACACAGACACCTTTGAGACGCTAGTATAGTCACTTCAACCTGAAATAACAGATTTTTTGGCCACTTGGGGGCAGTAAAGACAATTTGTAAACACTTATATGATGATGTAGCAAACTTGTCAGCTAACAGTTGTTTATTTACACATTCACTGATTATGACGGAACTTCATTCATTTCTAGCCATGTTTCTGGCAATGTGACCAAACATTCACTCTCCTTTTAGCTCTGTTTTTGGTCACTACCAACCCCTGAGGGAAATGTGTGTCTCTTTACCTCCTTAATGCTTCACTCTGTTTACCAGCCAGTCTCTAACTGTGTCTGTGTCCGAGACTGAGGGAGGAATCGGTTCAGGTTAGGTGACATTTGGAAATATCAAATGACATCACATTTGCAGACTCAAATAAACAAAGAACATGAAGTATGTAATCAGCTCTTTTTCACCACTGGACATAAGCAGGGTTTAGTTACAGCTGAGCGCTGTAAGTATACACTTAGCTTTGTTTGGACAAGAGCTGGCAGGGAAACAGTACATGTTCCCACACGTTGCCACAGGTCTTAAATGTACAGGCTTTACTGTGAACTCGTGAGTGTAGGTTTGTGGGCCTCATCTCATGTTGGATTCTATTTAAAGGGATAGTGTTACATCTTGGAACATAGACTTAAAAATGAGCTTTCTTGATGAGAGTTAGATACGAAGACCAGCACCTGAGGCCTGTACTACGAAGCCAGTTCAACTTTCTCAGGATATCTTGTCATTATCTGGCTTTACTAACCTTAACATTGGCCGTCTGGATAACCGGTACTACAAAGCTGGTTTTCAGCTAGTTCAGTCAACTCTAGGTTTTCCTATACAGCCACAAACGCGTTCATGTGAAAGAGGCGGTGGTGTTAACATCATGAGAACCATGAAGCGTCCTGAGTTCACCTAACTGAATAATTAATAAAACAGTAATCAAGAGGAAAGACGGTGCAGTAGCTCCAACAGTAACCACTGCCCCTTTATTTTACTTCACACCCAAAACTCTCACACATGCACAAGCCCCCTAAAACAGTGGAATGTCACCTCAGAACTTTCTCTGCCCTATGGCAAATCAAGAGGGACACACAATATAGAACCATCTGTTATAACATGAAACCTTATAACATTCTTGTAACAGAAACGTAGAGATATTTGAAATGCTGTCAATGCTTTTTTGCTATTTAGTTGTAAGGTGACAAAACTACTCTGAATGTCACATAAATCACACACATTTTTGTTTTATGGGGCAGAAACATTGAGAACCACAAAAGTCACCACCAACAAACTGCAAGCCTTTCTAAACAGATGCTTAAGACACATCCTGGGAATATACTGGCCAAATACGATAACAAATGAAGAGCTCTGGCAAACCACACAAGAACCACGTGAAGCACAAGTCAAATGCAGGAAATGGGGCTGGATTGGGCACACCTTGAGGAAACCTCCCTCCAACATGGCCAGACAGCCCTCATCCTGAATCCACGGGGCTAAAGAAAGCTGGGAAGACCAAAGAACCTGGAGAAGGTCTGTCAAGGCAGAACTCGAGGAATTAAGAACATCCTGGAAGGAAGCAGAGAAGATCGCCCAACACCGAACCAGCTGGAGAAAGTTCGTGGATGACCTGTGCTCCCCAAGGAACAAAAGGGTTTAAATCAAAGTCTGTTTTAAAACCAGCAAAAACAAACAATGAAATGACCTTTAACCACAACATAACAATATAGGCTCCTCTTGTTTACCTGTCACTCCGGACTTTCGTCAATGGATACTTTTTCTTCAGTGATCTGATTGGTCAGTGGTCGGGGTGTTGACAGGCCGAGATTGGATATTCTGAATTAGGTAGGTTAACTCTGGGTTTTCAGCACTACGAAGCTGGTTCTCTTTATAGCGGAATAAATCACCATGGTAAATGATGCTGAACAGCTAATCTGTTTAATCTGTTGACAAAAGTCCGGAGTCTCAGGTAAAAAAGAGGTGCCTATATGTTGTTATAGGTCAGTAGAATCATTTAATATTTCAAGGGCTCTATTTCCACCGGTTTCAAAACAGAGCTTCTAACAAATGGAGAGATCGTTTACACACTGAACACAGGATTTTAGCAGGATTTTAAGTTATGCAAAGTTTATTTTAGTCTGCAGTGATATAGATTACACTCTGAGTGATCATCACTGCAGCTCAAAATAACCTGAGACACCTGTGTTGTGAGAACTGGAAAAAACAGGTTATATTTTATTAAAAAAAAAAAAAAAAAAAAAAAAGAAAGAAAAAAACACACACACACACAGTTGAAATGCATAAATATATATATATATGAATGGAACATTTCGGTCAGATACACCTCATCAGTCATTAACTAGGCTACTTTTCAACCCTTTACTGGGTAGCAGATCTGGCATTACTTGTTACATGCAACATATTCAGGGGTAGTTTCGTCACCTACTAACTAAATAGCAAAAAATACTTTATACTAATGTCACATATAGCCCGGTGAAGACCACTATATATATCATCTACTGCTCACATCTTAATTACTGTGTGGAGGTCTGGGGTGACACCTATAAAACCAATTTATGTTCATTTCACATAAAAAAAGGATTGTATAGGGATACAAGGAGCACACAAACACACTGTCTTTAAAGTCACATGCATTGAAATAAGAAATCCTGGGGTAAGTTGAACTGGCTTCGTACAGGCCTCTGGCTAGCTCAGAGTAAAGACTGAAGCTCACCTACCTCTTGGTAAGACATCAAATACACATATGTCAAACAAAATGTCGAACTATTTCTTTACATTTTATTTAATATGTTTTGTGTTAGATACATTCTGTTTAGCACCGATTACTTCAGATGACCATTTCTTGCTTTCCATTGTACTGTATATTCATTTTAATGTGCTGAGCAGTGCAGAGCCTTATTGATTTTACTCTCAGTTAGATTTTGTGTTTGTAATACTCCTGTCAGCTCACTTTCATGTTTTAAAACTCAACTTTAAAGGGAGTACAGAGAGAAAAACACCAGGAATACAAAGAAAATTTAGTTAATCACGTTTTTGTATATTTGTACAATAAAGTAAAGCAATATGTTTTAACTGTGTTATGATTTGTTGCTTTTGTATGTATTATGGAGACTGTTTTTGAACTGCAGTTTGACATTGAAACTGTGCCATGTAAAGCAGATTGTGCTCTTCCCACAACGTGTCAGGTTAAACTTGTTTACCAGTGGTTTTCTATTAGTGACTCTTTTTCTGCTGGACACCTGCAACATTCCCATCCAGTGGCTACATCACACTGGTTGTACTGTATATAAGGCAAGTGAGCTGCAGAGATGACATTTAATCATCTCTCAGATTTGCTCAGAATGAAGGGTCCAGTGGGTCAGATGGTGCTGCTGCTCTGCTTGTCAACAGTGATGGCTCAAACGCCTGACCCATCCATCGCTGCTATCTGGAATGAACTGAAAATGCTTAAAGACACGGTTCATGACATGGGCACCGTGGTGGTGGAGCAGAGGGTAGAGCTGAGGAGCCTGGAGACCCGAGTGAGAGACACCGAGCTTCAGGCGGAGGAGGAGAGGACCAAAGTCGTGCTTCTGACTTATGAGCTGAGGAACGTGTTAAAGGAGGTGGAAGAGCAGAGAGCAGAGCTGGTGGTCGCCAGGAACAAGATGGCTGAGCTGGAGAGGGAAAATGCAGGTACACATTTTTTATTTTAGTGTATTGACATGAGGAAATGTGTCAGGTAGAACTGCTTATATCTCATAGACCAATAAAATGTGACAAGAGGCCCCAACTAGAAACTGCTTTTTTGTTACAAGCCAATATGTTTAGAAACACTGATTCAATCTTTAATAAGGTGTGTTTTATAAGCTTATCATGTGTTTTTTTTTTCTAATGTATGAGTTTTAAAAAGTTGAAGCACATATGCAAGACTGAGGCGACGCAGGCACGTGTCACACACTCTGCCACAACCATTACCAACAGATGATTCACAACAGCGTCGAAGAATTGCTCCTTCTTCTTCTTCTGAGGATGACAATAAATGGGATCCTGACTCTGTGGACGCAGAAATAATATTCACAGTGATTCACAGGCATATGGGCACATTTCCTGCTTCATAACTGTCAGCTCTGCGGTGATATACGAGTCATTTGGATGTAAAAGTTTCCACAGAGTCAATATTTTGGTTTGTTTGAAGTTTGGTTTAAAGGAATCCATTTTTATGACTTCTATCACTGTTTGTTTTTCCAAATATTGATTCAAATGTTTTTATTTTCAGGAATAAATGAATCTTGCTTGAGGCTGTGCTGAATATTTTCATTTGATTTTTTGTGATAGTACTTACAATAGGTCGGAGATTGCTGTTGATAGATGCGTTGAATGTATATGAGCAGCTTGTGGCTTTTTATTCTAGTGTTATCAGCAGAGCTGGGAGGTGTTGGACAGAGAGTGGCAGCCGGTGAGAAAGACCTGGACAATCAGAGCAGAGAAGTGGCTGCTCTAAGAGGAGCGTTAAGTACCACTGAGACTCAAGTGCAACTGCAGAGCATAATTGTGGAGGACCTGGAGAAATCAAAAACAGGTAGGATACTAAAAATGACCTCATATTTTGACTGGACCCAACCAAAAACCTGACTTTATTCCAGTGTAGCTTGTGTCTGAATAATGAGCGAGCAGAACGTGCAACATGTTCTCATCCCAACTCATCCAATATCGCCGCTTAGTCAGTGGACTTTCATGTCTAAATATGACACGCTAGGTAACCTCCTGCATCTGTTATTGACGTTCCAGGATGGCATGTCAATATATGCTTGAGGGCGCCTATGACTCAGAAGGTAGAGCAGGTTGTCCACTAATTGGAAGATCGGTGGTTCGATTTCTGGCTCCTCCAGTCTGCATGTCGAAGTATGCTTGAGCAAGATACTGAACCCCAAACTGCTCGTGATGGAGAGTGAGTTAAAAACTGAGTAGCAGATGGCACCTTGTATGGTAGCCTCAGCCACCAGCGTATGAATGTGTGTGACTCATGGTGTATAAAGCACTTTGAGTGGTCAGAAGACTAGAAAGGTGCTATACAAGAGCAGCAGAAGCACATGGTTGGGTTCAGAAAAAAACATCATGGTTTGACTCAACATTCGCACAGGAAGTGAACAGCAGGCTCCCAGTTCAAAGTCTGAGGCTTGTTGGACCCATCCAACTCCCCTCCCACATGCTCTATAGGGAATTCCCAGCTCTTAAAGGGAAATTTCGGTTTATTTCAGCCTGTCTCCTATTGTCCTGAAAATGGCGTGCACCAAAAAATAATCTGATTTATAAAACCGTGCGCATGCACACTTGCACGCAATGTTCTCTTTATAAATCACAGACCTCCTGGAGTTGTGTGCACCCAGATCCGCCTCATATTCCGTCCTCTACACGCCCTAGTTCAACCATAAATGGTCACGCAAATCACCTCATGAATGCAATCTGCATATAAATAAGCCGGCATGTGAGTGTTCTCTCGTTGTGTGAGTCACGGCGACAGGTGTGAGAAACGAACCAAAAAACGGAATTTCTCCGAGACTGAGCTAGAGACCCTTTAACGGGAGGTGGAGGACTGAAGAAAGATTTTATTTGGTGGCCACAGCAGCGGGATCACTAATAAAAGAAAGTAAAAAAAGTGGCAACACATCAACCCTGCTGATGCTGTCAGCTGTGTCTGTGGGACTGCACGGACAGTGACAGAGAAAAAAAAGTGGTCTGATCTAAAGGTAGACCAAATATTTCTACTCCTTTACCAACATGTAGTTAATGTGTTGCTTTTAAATTTGAGGATGTTTGACATTGATGTACGACATAAAGAATCACATTTATTACATGTGGAGGCAAAAAGGAGTATGTGCCAGTGCCATCTTGTGCAATTACGCACGAGGGTCACTGCAGTATTTATATGTTTATGGCAATTAGTCTGATCAGACACCCGGCCTGAATTACAGCATGAACCAGTGGTATCCCTGTCCCAAAATACAACGTGTAATTTGAAATACAATTCAAAGATGAAAGTGTAATAGGCGAACACGTTTCTTCATGCCGGTTTTGTCATGAACAGCACATGTCTAAGTAGGGCTGATGAAATGAGTGTAATGGTTGTGCTTAATGGCTGTATTACGAGACATGATAAATGCACTGGAAATATTTAGCTAAATAAATAAATATATTCCATGCAGTTGCGCCATCCTCTCCCACTCCTGTGCTCACAGAGTGGACAATGAGACGTTAGAGGCAGTGCGGATTAAATACGTATTTAGAAAGAATTTCAATTCAGGATTTGAGTTGGATTTTGCAACGTTTTTATGAAACAATTATCACTCACTCCAAGCGCAAAATAAGGCTGCTGGATTTAATTTCAATGATAACGTGGATCTAAGGTGGATATAGCGTGACATTACATTTGTGTGAGACATCAGTAAAAATCTGACTCCACTTCTCCACCTCGCCGTCTGCGTCGCCACTTTCCAGTGTCTCCAAAATGTGCGCACGCATGACTCAGAGTTTGCTTACAGGTGCGCACATTCTCCCGCCAAGTTTATTTTTATAAATCACAACCTTTGCATGGTAAGTGGTGTACGCCACTTTCAAGCCCCGTTTTGTGCGCAAGCAAGCTTTATAAATGAGGCCCCAGGTCTGTGGTGTCTTGACCTGAGCTAGAGATGATTATCCATGCTTTTGTGTCCTCCCGACTGGACTACTGTGATTCTCCTTTTACTTGTCTAAACAAATCCTCTCTGAACTGTCTCCAGTAATCAAGAACGCTGCTGCTCGGCTGTTAGCCAGGTCCAGCAGGTCCAACAGGTCAACCCACATCACTCCCATTTTAGTTTCTTTACACTGGCTTCCCATCAGGTTCAAGATTCATTTCAAGATACTCGTTCTCACGTATAGATTGTGAAGACTGACAAGCTGAGCACATCGACGAGCTGAGCGTGCAGTCGAGTCTTTTAAACATAAAAGCAACAGTAAGAAAACAAAGAGAGAAACAAACTGGTGGAGAAAGTAGCAAAGCTCCCTCAATTAGATTTCTTTTGCTTTTTTATAAACAGTTATCAGTGTGTGTGCTTCAGAACAAGTAACAAAAGTGCACTGGGGCCCATTATAGAAGCACGCACTGGGGCTGTCATAAAAGTCTGCACTGGAGCCTGTTGTAAGGCTACTGAGAGCGAGGCATGAATTTTTAAGTTAAATTATTTAAAAAAGAGCATCTGAATTTTTATGACTCGTCTTACTTAATTGAAGGCACGAATGGGAGATAAAATTTCTAAATTTTATTAATTTGAGCAAAAGCTTTCTGTATACAAAGTCCTTCACACATTAAGAGGAAGAAGCACCGGTTACCAAAACCTGATATGAATGTGGGATTCATTTTAATATTTCTTTTGCAAAAAAATCATCATACTATTTTTTTTCGACTACTTCTAATATTGCTAAAATTAACCATACTTATATTTATTACAAACATCATCCTAAAATATGTCCTTGCCTTTTTTTTTTAGAGCAAGAAACCAGATTAAATGCCATGGACTCCAGAGTGACAGCCAATGAAAAAGGAGCAGAGGAGCAGAAGGTGGAAGCAGTGACTCTGAGAGCGGACCTGAACAGCACCATGACTGAACTGCAGCTCCAAAGCAAAGACATACAGCTACTGCAGAAAGAGACTGCAGGTAACACAAACGTATGACTTTTAATTAAAGGTTATGTATCACTTTTTTGTAAAGCCACACAAGAGATAATAATAGCTGTTAATGTCTGTGCCATTTTACTAATGAATGCAACAGTAAGGCTTAATATCTCAGATGTAAGATACCGTAAAACATCACTTAAAGCTACTCTTACCTTTCTTGCATTTCACACAGCACTTAAAAAATTTGAACATCCACAACCCGCCTCCCTCCAAAGTCCCACCCTCCTACAACTCCACCTCCCTCCAAGGGCCTCCTCCCCCCTCCTCCATTACGTCCTCATTACGTCTATGATAGACATAGGTGTTGTCAAGGTTACGTTAGATACATGGAAGAGGAGAGTGAGTGTAACGTTACAACCAAGACAGTCAAACGCAACCCCGGAGTTTTAAAACTCAACCGGAGTCAGTGATGACTGATGAGTTTTATAATAAGGTTACAGTGCTAACATTAGATAGTAGCGCTAACGTTACTAGTAAGTGGAAACGCAAAAGGAAGATAACGTTAATGTTTCAGAGGCTACGCTACAGTAGGCTAACGTTATCCATTAGCAACTGGATGCTGTGTTGTCATTATTAGAAGCAAACTAAACATAACGTTACCTGTCCTGCACAGTCAAACACAACCCCGGAGTTTTGAAACTTATGCGGGTCAGTGATGACTGATGAGTTTTACAATATAGCGGAAACGCTAATGTTAGATAGTAGCGCTAACATTTTTAGTAAGTGGAAACGCACAAGGAAGGTAACGTTAATGTTTCAGAGGCTACGCTACAGTAGGCTAACATTAGCCATTAGCAACTGGATGCTGTGTTGTCATATATAATGTTACAGCCTATGTTACATTAGAGGCAAACTAGAAATACCTGTCCAGCAGAAACTCTGCTCATCTGTCGCAGTTTTCTTAGAACCATGTGAGAATGGTATAATTATGAGTTTTATCTCTGGTGGAATTCACTTACCTTTTAGTGTGCCATCAGCTTATTAATAGCATTTTAACCTAAACAAAGAAAAGCGTAAAATTTCCAGAAAGGTAAGTGTCGCTTTAAAAGCCTAGTCCAGATTAAATTCCTTGTCCCTTTTAGTAGCCCAGTTTAGCTCCATATATTGACAATTAAACACCTGTCTCAATTAGAGGCCTGGTCTGGTTGCCAAGCAGCTCCTTTTCTTTAACAGAAGTTCTTCAGATGTATAAAACCGGGTTGTTGGCTACCTCAAATTATGTGTCCATTCCTCGATTATCCTGTAAGTTGTTCATATTCCTTTAGTCCATAAGCGTCCTCAGATCAAAAGAATCAAAAGGGATTTACATAATTATGAATCCAAGCTGTGAGTGTAGACCCATTTAGGGCCGACATCACAATGATGTCAGTTTGTTAGCTGGAGGATATCAGTGATTTAAGCAAATAATTGCCCAGGCTTTTAATTGAATTTTTTTGTGTATGTAAACATAGAAATTAACTTTGCTCTCAATTTTGTTTCCTTTTCAGTACAACAGTATCAGTACAATAAAGTTAATAAAGCTACAGTATAAACCAGCGCTGTCAGTGCACACAAAAATGATATCTTCCAAGCAAATCGAGCAATTTCACTGTATATACTGGCATTTTTTATGACACCTCGGTTTGTCATTTTTGCATTGTGACTGCAAATACCTGTAGAATTACAATATACTGAGGTGCAGCCACTGAAGCAGCTAATTCAGGCAGACATCTTCAGACCACTTGTGCTGTGACATGATTTACCCTCCTCGTTGCAACATAAATCCAATTCACCCTCTAAAAACGTTGATGTACTTAAAGAGCTGCACCGATTTTACACATCAAAGTCTGCACTGTTCACCTGAGAGCTGGGCTGTGCTGCTCCTAACATTCGCTACTACAGCTGCCGACACTGCCGCTATCCATACAGCCTCTCAAACACTCCACCTCCACTCCAGCATCCACCTGTAGGTCTAAATTACTTCAGGACTGAAGTTGTTCTAGCACTAGAGATTTGTGTATATATTCATTTTTATACAAAGTTGGCATTCACATAATAATCCATCTTAAATGAGTTGTCTGACGGAAATACACTCACCAGCCACTTTATTAGGTACACCTTGCTACTACCAGGTTGGACCCCTTTTGCCTTCAGAACTGCCTTAATTCTTGGTGTCACAGATTCAACAAGGTGCTGGAAACATTCCTCAGAGATTTTGGTCCATATTGACATGATAGCATCACACAGTTGCTGCAGATTTGTTGGCTGCACATCCATGATGTTCCAACGTTCCACCACATCCCATAGGTGCTCTGTTGGATTGAGATCTGGTGACTGTGGAGGCTCTACCATCTGAATGTGGCAGCAGAAATCCAGACTCATCAGACCAGGCAACGTTTTCCCAATCTTCTATTGTCCAGTTTTGGTGAGCCTGTGTGAACTGTAGCCTCAGTTTCCTGTTGTCAGCTGACAGGAGTGGCACCTGGTGTGGTCTGCTGCTGCTGTAGCCCATCTGCTTCAAGGTTGGACGTGTTCTTGGTTCAGGGATGGTCTTCTGCAGACCTTGGTTGTAACCAGTGGTTATTTGAGTTACTGTTACCTTTCTATCATCTTGAACCAGTCTGGCCATTCTCCTCTGACCTCTGGCATCAACAAGGCATTTTCACCCAGAGAACTGCTGCTCACTGGATATTGTCTCTTTTTGGGACCATCCTCTGTAAACCCTAGAGATGGTTGTGTGTGAAAATCCCAGTCAATCAGCAACCATGCCACGCTCAAAGTCATTAAATCCCCTTTCTTCCCCATTCTGATGCTCAGTTTGAACTTCAGCAGGTTGTGCTGACCATGTCTACATGCCCAAATGCATTGAGTTGCTGCCATGTGATTTGTTGATTAGATATTTGCGTTTATGAGCAGTTCAACAGGTGTACCTAAAACTGGCCAGTGAGTGTATATTTACAGATTTCTTGATTGAAAGTCATAGAATTTGAACTAAAAACCTCTGGGTGAAACACAGCCTCTTCTAACCTTAAGGCCTTTTTATCTGTCAGATAATTTCAATAGTGACTCTGTGAATAAGAAGAAGCACATCATACAGGGTTTAACTGAGCATAAAATTGAAAAGTGATAATATTTAATAATGTACCCATTCATAAAATACCATTCTTCTTACAGGAAAGATTGCTTTCTCTGTTGGCTTGAACAGCGCGGTGGGACCGTTCAACACAGACACCCATCTAAAGTACAGCAAAATCTTTACCAACTTCGGTGATGCTTATAATCCTTCATCAGGTGCAGTTCAAGTAATAAACAGATTTAAGCACACTTTCCTAACTGGCACAATGCTTTATATAATACATACCTCTTTTGACTTATTTTATTTTTCAGGCATGTTCGTTGCACCAGTCAGAGGAGTCTACTACTTCAGATTCACTGCGTTTGGTAACCGCAATGGGGAATATTACGGTCTTCAACTTTACCACAATAACCAGAGAGTAATGTGGAACTGGGAATACAACGATAACGAAGGTCATATTTACTTCTCCAATGCATTAACTATTCAGTTAAATGAGGGAGATCTGGTTTACATGAAGCTTCCCAATGGATATGGTCTTTTTGATAGTAAAGATAACCACAACACTTTCAGTGGCTTCTTACTTTTCAGTGTGTAAGTGACGGCTGAGTCGTGGTTACATTATGCTGCTTGCTTATATGATGAACCAAGACATGAATAAATAGTAAATAATCATCTGTTGAGTGGTGATACCTGAAGTATTTCACTGTTTTTCTGACATTTCATTCTGATGAAAAAACCCCTCAAACGACCCAGCTCTGAGCTAAAGTGCCTGCAGGGAGAGTTAATCTAAAAAGTTGTGTGAACAACACGTCAGTTTAAAGACACATCCTTTTGTTGTTTCTGTTATTGAAGACAAGAAAACAAAATGGATTGCTTTGTTTGGATTAAATCTCTAATTACTTCCATGTAGTCATCTCAAGATGAAAAACACTGTTGTAAGACCACATGATCAAAGGTGCGCTTAGTGAGATTAAACTTGATTCTATTTGCCAAGATTAAAAAAAATGTGTCAGAGATGCTCAGAATACGAAAATAAATACCTACACATACATATCAAAGAAAATCTAGTAAAATAAGATGAGAAACAGGAAAACATAGCAAGGTGCAGTTAAGTCAAGTTGTGAGTTTTAAGCTATATTTATGGAGCACTTACTCATCAGCCACTTTATTAGGTACACCTTGCTAGCACCAGGTTGGACCCTTTTGCCTTCAGAACTGCCTTAACTCCTGGTGTCATAGATTCAACAAGGTGCTGGAAACATTCCTCAGAGATCTCGGTCCATATTGACATGATAGCATCACACAGTTGAATCTCCAGTTCCACCACATCCCAAAGGTGCTCTATTGGATTGAGATCTGGTGACTGTGGAGGCCACTGGAGTACAGTGAAGTCATTGTCATGTTCAAGAAACCAGTTTGAGATGATGTGAGCTTTGTGACATGGTGCGTAATCCTGCTGGAAGTAGCCATCAGAAGATGGGTACACTGCAGTAGAAGCTGCTGGTCTTTCAACAGGGGAAGCTCACTTTAAGTTTACACCATAAAATTTATATTGTAGCGAGGCAGTAACTTATAAAAGGAACATTTAATTGAAGCTGGTTTTCAACCACACTCATGCCACAGAACCATAGCAAAACACACGTCAAACATTTTCAGATGGGTTTAAACACCTGAACTGTGTCTAAAACGGTGAAAATGAGCTATATGTCTTATGGAAATAAGGAACTCCGGACTGCACTCTGTCAGAAGACTCCACTTGCAAATATCCACATGGGGCTGAGCTCGAAATGTGACGATGCCGGTGTGTATTTCCAAACCGCTGTCAATCACAAAGGGGTTCAGCCTTTTAGACAATTCCTCCAATCATCATGCATACACTGAGCGTCCTCTCCCGCCTACCGCTCCATTAGGTCCCAGGGAAGCTGAGCCTCCCTGGAAGTGACGATTTTGTCGCATTTATTCAATGACCGTCTCGCTTTGCTGCATGAAAAAAACCTGCTCAGCGCTGTCTCAAAGGAATGCTTGGAGGCTCCGCGTCCACCATGCTGACACGAGAATGTATGACAGGGTGGTCGTGTTTGAAAACTGGTGATAAACAGCTGACGTTTGAACATTGTAGTCAAGATGTTAAACACATCCTAGCGCACGTTTAATGCAATGTAAATTCTTATTTTAATGTAAATTCAATAGTGCATATTTGACCATTTCTTCTATGAAATTTTAGGGGAAGTTCAGCCTCCCTTGTTGTCTCAGAGCAATCGCCCCTGGTACACTGTGGTCATAAAGGGATGGACACGGTCAGCAACAATACTCAGGTAGGCTGTGGTGTTTAAACCATGCTCAGTTGGTACTAAGGGGCCCAAAGTGTGCCAAGAAAATATCCCCCACACCATTACACCACCACCACCAGCCTGAACCGTTGATTCAAGGCAGGATGGATCCATGCTTTCATGTTGTTTACACCAAATTCTGACCCTACCATCTGAATGTGGCAGCAGAAATCCAGACTCATCAGACCAGGCAATGTTTTTCCAATCTTCTATTGTCCAGTTTTGGTGAGCCTGTGTGAATTGTAGCCAGCAACCTGGTTTTATACATCCAAATAACTTGGGACTGACCTTTATTTCTCAAAATGCATAGCCACACCAGGCTAGTAAAAAGGACTGGGCGTTTAAATGGTAATAGGCTTTTAATTGACGTTTTATACGTATGATTAGTTTATAAAATATATTGCATCACTATAGAAGAAGGAACACAACTTTATATGAAATACTGTAGTTAGAGGTTCCACCTAAACCAGTTAGACCAGGGATACCTAATTTGCTTTCCGCAGAGGCCACTTTTGCAAATGATAGGAGGCCAGGGGCCGGTTAATAAACAAACATTAATAATTAGTATATAAATAATCAGCCCAGAAATGTCAGAGAGTCCAGGGGATCCTCCCTTGGCACTATTTAAAAAAATAAACAAGCTATTTTGATGCTTTTTTTATGCACTCCAGCACCTTATTTACACTAAAAGTATGAAAAAATCCCAGTTTGAATCAATTGGTTTTTATTGTGAAATAGAAAATGGTGGGCAGGCCCCGCAGGCCATAATGAACCAGACCACTGAGTACTGCTTATATATTAATACATCAATAACAGTGATCCAGTGATACAATAACACTCACAGTGGCTGCTCCTCATAATAGCTGAAGTATTTTCGTAATGTAATATTACTACTTTTACTTCATTCAACATCATTTTAATCAACTCGTTGGTTAAAACAATGTGATTACAGCTCTGAGTTGACACATGTATTTGCCACTGACTTTGCACTTTGAGAAACACCTCCCTCCCTTATTGATAAGACCTGCTGTACTGAACACCACGGCAGTCATCAATAGCCCCTGTGAGTGAATCCAGTGCTGACAGAGCCCTTCTGTTCTGAAAGGTCTCCCTCTGCACAGATACTGAGGAAGCGGTGCAGCGCCAGAGCAGCTGGGCACGCTGAGGAGAATCAGGGCTTGTGGGGAAGCTGGCAGGGAAAGATGGAGGAGACATAGTGGGTAATTGGAGCGCAGCGATATCCGCCATCTTGGCTCGTTACCTAAATAACAGCTTTGATTGAGGTGAATAGGCCCATAAAGGGTTGTGGTGGAGCTGATAAGCTTCAGTGTGGCTTGGCCGGTGTTGCGAGGCTCTTGGCATCCACGAGGGGCTCTTGGCTTCCTGCAGCTGAGACCTGGATCGGCGGGACGGGCACCTGGGATTCCAGATGTCTTGGGGTGGAATCTATGGTGGCATCTCTCAACTGGCATTAGTGCCTGCGGTGACATTCATCCCTCAGTCTGGCATGACGGAACTGGCAGCGACGAGCCAGCTTCCTATCTACCCACACATATCTGTCTGAGTGAGCACTGCTGGAAGTTGTGCTTCCTTTTGTCTGGGATGAAGAAAGAGACGTCATTTGTGGCGGAAACTACGACCGCTGTGCTCTGTGGAGACTCGGAAAGTTACACACACAACAGATGCTAATGTGATGAGTATAGAATTCCTGATACGAGCGGCGAAAACACATTTTCCTAGAAGATGCCACTGAAATGAAAAATATTTATCTTTAAGCATGGCAGCGAGAGCGTTACGGAGATCAGAGCTGCTTTGAGAAAATCTCTCTCATCTGTGTGCTTTGAATACGTAGTAATGTAAATCTGTACTGAAGCTACATTAAGGAATGTTTACTTCAAAACATACAAGTATGGGAGAAAATATACTCAAGGGATGCTCTAATGCATTGGGGCATAGTAAAAGAATCTTCCGCGTGAGTCGCTCTATTTACAGCCTAACAACAAATAAAGCAGCAAATCCACAGGGCTTCACCTTGGCCTCAGGTGGAAACAGAAACAGAGCAAGTATAAGATGTGTTACACCTCTGCGGTGCTATGCTGCAAAGAGTGTCTCTGTGTGTGTGGACAGATGACCGTGTGCTAACTGTATCCCCCGCCGCTCAAGGATTCCACTGCATGACAGGGATCGGTAATCACTGTTATTTTCCTACTGCAAAAAACCCCCCCCAAAAAAACACAACAATTCATGACAGCTCATAAATTGTTCAGTAGTCCTCAGTCATCCCCGGGGTTATTTAGTCAACATCTACTTCAATCACTTCTCAAAGCTCATACAAACATAACGCAACAGCATACATTCATCACTGGGTTTTCCACCCTGAAAGCATTTTTCAGAGTGCACCGCGCCGCTGCCTGCATGGGGTCTCGTTCCAGGCTCAGCTATAACTTCTTCTAGTTCTCCCCGCAATGAATGACAGAATAGTTTGGCTGCAATAACCGCTGGCACTGAATAACAACAGCAGCTGCATTTGCCACTGCTAGTCTGGGGACTTAATTTTTGGGGCATTTGTGTACTTAATCCGACTGATATTACAGTGCCGACGGGGTGGGGGATCTGCTCGGGGAGGTGCTGAGAGGCCGGGCTAAAGCACAGTGATCCATGTGAATGAGAGAGAATCTGGTCTCGAGAGGAAAAAGAGGTGTTTAATGGGATGTTCACGCTCTGTTACCAGCCTGACAGGAACAATCTCCCTCACTCACCTTGTTTGCCACTCAGTGGCCTCTGTATACAGGCTGCTAATTAACAGGGCTCCTGGATGCCTCATGAGCAGAATGGTTACATGCACAGAGACGTCTTGCTCATATTTGAAAAAAGCTATTTATAGTAAATGCATTTTATATTCAAATTACACCATAAGGGTATCAGTCAGCGGAGTTTCATACTCTAGATGGGATGTTTGTTGGTCGGTATTGTCACATAGAAGAGATGATATTTGTACTTTTCAAAATAAGGACAAGGAGAAGTTGTATTTATACACATCAGGAGTATCTCCAGTAATACTTGATTATGAACAGTGTTGGGCAAGCTACTTGGTAAATGTATTGAGCTAAGCTACCGGTTACTCTACACTGAAGCTATCTTCAGAAGAATACAGCAAGCTAAGCTACGAGAAAATGGCAAAAATAGCTTGTTACTTGGAAAGCTACTTTTATTTTTATTTTTTACTTAACATTATCTTAGTGATAAGAGAAAATTTCAGCCAAATAGGCAGGCAAAGAAATGTTCAGTTGAACTGTTTATTATAAAATAACATACTTAATTTAAAACTTTCTTCTTTTTTTTTTTTTGAT